TCCTCTACGATCTTCTATCTCATTCATGTAGAAAATTTGTCACACTGGTGATGTGTTCACCAACACTACTTGTAGATAAGATCGTTGTATGAATGAAGAGTTTTACATGTTAACTTGTAGGAGCTTGTTGTATACTTTGCCGGTGTGTTACCCTTGTTTGTACCTCTTGTATGTTGAATTGTTGTTAATAGTGGAGACTTCGCTACATTCATATATAAATCTTTTTATGAATATCCCCATTGTAACTCTTTGCTCATCAAGTTCATATCACTTGCTCTTATGAGTGAGATATAAGGATTCTATTCACCATAGGTCATTGCTTGTAATTGTTTGTTGATGATAAGAAAGTTAAGCTTGTAGCTCTTTGTTCAAGTCCCAAACAATATGACTCAGTTCCAGCTCAAATCATATTATTTGCATTCAAGCAAGGTTTCTCATTCCTCAGATCAAGTTCAGGTCCAAGTTCTATTCATTGATGTTTGTTTGGATGCTCAAGATTATTGGTTAACACTTTTATATTTCAATGTGATCATTACTTCGATTTTTCAAAACATGTTCGTTCGAGTCCACTTTCACAAGTCCTTACTTGAGTTCAAGCATCAAACTCAAGTTCTATGTCCCCTGTAGTTCTATGAGTTCAATCAAGTCCAAGCCTTATTGGCTTAATGCTCAAATCAGGTTCTTGCTTGAGTCCAGTCCAATTTCATTTTACTTGGGTTTAATTCTTTATTAAGTCATTTAGATTTTGTTCAAAAGTCCAGGTGTAAGTCCTTCGTTGTTCTTTTGAGTTCAAACAGGTCCGAGTATAGTGGCATATTCACCCGAAATTTCGGCAGCCTCCCGGCATCTCCCCCGTTTAGGGGAAAACTACGAAAAATTGGGCCTCCCGCCACGCTAGAGAAAAGCGTGTACAGTAGGTGCCCTCTTGCGAGGACACCGCGGCCGTGTAAAATCTTTGCCCCCACCACGCCAGAGAAAGGCATGTATGGGTCTTCGGTACCTGTTGCAAGAAAAGCAGTTTTTCCCCGCAAGCGGGTACTTATGAATATTCCGGTCTCGCCGTAGGTGTCGCACCGGGCTCCCATCCCACCACGCTAGAGAAAAGCGTGTATAGGCGGTTTTCCGGTCCGACACGAACGTTGAGGTAAGAGGGCATTTTATTTATTATTATTATTTTTTATCATTAGTTATGATTAATTATTAATAATAGTAATTAATTAGAATTAATTATAACTATATTTAATTAATTATAATTAATACGCAATTAATTAAAAATTAATTATAATTAAATCATAATTAAACTAAATTAATTATGATAAGATCATAATTAATTATAATTAACAATAATTAATTATAATTAAAATTAATTAAAAATTAATCATATTAGAAATAATTAAACATAATTAAATTTAATTAATAACTAATAATGATTAATTATAATTAACAACAATATTTAAGTAATTAAAATTAATTTATGATTAATTGATTGATAATTATAATTTAAATTAATTAAGCATGATTAACCGTAATTAATCATGTTTAACAAATGTTAATTATAATTAAGATAGTTAATCAGAAATTAAATTTAATTAACTATCATTAAGTTAAAATCAAAACTAATTCATTATAATTTCAAATAAATAAATAAATAAATAATAATAATAATAAAGAAAATCCCTCCCCTCTCTTTTTCTGTTTCACGGGATCAGGCCGAAGAAGCGCGAGGGGGGGGGGCTTCCTTCACGGTCAGAGAGCTCCTGCTCTCGGCTCCGATCAAAATGTTGTAACTTCCGATCAAAATGCCGTGTCTCCTGGTCCAACAGGAAGGAGACGTCGTGGAGGGGAGATAGGGCACGGCTTGGTGAGCTCTTGCGAACTGGAGAGGAGGAGATGGACAGAGACGGAGGAGCTTGACGAGGCTCAGAGTGGAGAAATCGGCTTCAGGTATGTGGATCGGTCTCTCTCTCTCTTTCTCTCTCGGCTTGGGGTCGGTAAAGGCAGAGGAGGAGATGGGGAGCTGGGGTGTGGAGATGACGGGATTTGGTCGGAGAGGAAGACGGGGTCTGCGAGTAGCGAATGGGAGAGAGCAGCAGCCGAAGGTCTCATTTGCTTCGGTATTTAACGACGCTCACATGAGCGGGATCGAGGCGCTGTAGGATCGCGAAATTCCTGGGAAGCGATCGTGAATGGCGCCGAATCAGCGTAACCTCGGTAGGATTCGTGGACCCGATGGTTTTGAGGTATGTATGCGGGAATTTGGTTTTAGTTTTCTTCTCTCTTTTGCTCTTTGGGTATAACATGGAGGTCAACAAGAGCCGAGTAAATGGACACCCGTAATTGCCTTCTCAGATATCTTTACAAGTAGCAATCAGGTCGCTCAAGAACACTCCTCACCAGTAGATCCCTTCAAAGACTCGCCTTGACTATTATATGAACCCACCCAAGTGGAGGGCGATATTTAGGAGCTCGTCCTATACTAGGCGACTGAAGGTTCTTTTCCAAATAACTGAATCATCAATCATATAGTCAAGGTAATGCCCCAATGAAGAGGAAAAAAGAAACTGAGGAGAGTGAGGGTTTGGTCCCCTCAATTGACCATGATTGAGGTCTTGTCTCCTTCGGGGACCTCACATTGTTAATTGCGGGGTTCCTTTTCTTTGCCTCTTTTCATTTTATTGTATCTTGTCTGGCTTTCTTTGTCTGGTTGTTTTCCCACCTGTTTTTGGTGTTGGGGAAGCGTAGGTGCTTTTTGGTTTTGACTGCTTGTACTCTCTTGTACTCCTTTTTTGTCTTAATGAAATTTCTATAATTTAAAAAAAAATATCTTAGTCAAGCTCTTATCCTTTAAGCCCATCTAGCCCGCCAAATTCATTCACATGAAAACATCTATCGCAGTGATCCCTCATTCAGTTGCAACTCATTTCAGGCTCAAGAAGTCATCATCTCCGCCTATACCTCTGCTTGCCTTCATCAATAAGGAGACACCAATACTCTTATGTCACTCAACACAATGACAAGGCGACTCTCCAGGTACATATCGGCCCCCTCTTGAGCTCATTCTATAGCAGACAGATCATCGTATCCTTCCTATGGCCAATTAGGAGGCACCATGTGCCCTAGATTAGCATATATTGTTGTACAAGAACTTATGTATAGCCCATATTTTTGGCTTCTTATGTGTGGCATTTTCTATAGCCTCCAAAATCTTATAAATTTAAGGTGATGAGGAACAATGAAAAGATACTTTTTTGGGGTTTTAGACTGACTTTTTGTAGATATTAGGCTCTGAATATTCTTGCACTCTTGATTGAGATAGTGAAGATTTTGTTAATCTATTCTCCTGCATTCTCTATTCTTCATCCTCACTCACATGTTCCTTAGCGCGTCGGGCGGATTTGCCCGTAAATTCTAGTATCATCCACTAGACAAATTTGGATTCAACAGTTACCGTACTTCATAACTCCACTTTTATCAATGTTACAAACGCCTCTTATTTCTTTTTTATTTCTTCCAAATGCACCTTTAATTGCATCTTTCACTCTATACATTCCATCATAAATTTAACTCATATCTAACCTCTTTTCAACATCTACTAAACATTATTTATGGGCATGTAACTTGCAAAACATAGCTCATACCACTCTAAAATCTTGTCTTGAGAATAATCTCTTCTACTTTCATTCTTTTGTAATCAATATTGAATCTTGATTTGTTCCAATCTTTGTATATAAACAAACAGCTTAAAATATTTTTTTTGTACGTATGCTTGCAAGCATGAGAAGAGAAGTAGCAAAATGAGTGATGCTTAGTCTTCTAATTCTACTTGTATATTTTCTCATCCTGTTTAGAATGAGTCCATGATTATATCTATCTATCTATCTATCTATCTATAGATATGTGTGTGTATATGTATAAGTGGTCACTCTTGCCAGCGACGATCATAGAGTTCAAACTCTCCATGGAAGATCAAACCATATGTATTTATGTATGTTTGCCTTTCTTGAAGATCAAACCAAGGGTATAATCCTATCGCATAAATCTCTGATCAAACTACAAGAAATATACACCTTTGAAGTCTATGACCATGAATTTATTGGTTGAACTCATTCCTATGTTAGTCACTTGCAGGTAAGGAAGTTACCTCTCGCGCACAGAGACTCATCTCTCATTTCTAGGTATGGTGCAACCCTAGCATGAATTGACTGATTTGACTGATGTCTCTGCCCTCTCCTGGATTTTTTGACTTCTTAAATTTGAATCCCATCCCGTGTTGTCGCTTGCCGGAATATGTAGATCTACTTGCAGCTCTGGCATTCGTTTTGCTTCAACATTAATCTTGCCTCACAAATTGTGATTGTCGCTAAGTTCCTTCTTCCTGCCCTAACATTCAGTTCATCTTATTTCTTTTTCTACTCAGGTATTTTTGCTAAATGCTGATGGATCCAAGTATTTACTCTTCGAAGTCAACTATAATTTAGTTTTTATTATTTGTTTGTTCTGTTCTTGTCAAATTAGAAATTTTTTAACATTGATGATTTTAATATTATATTTTAAGCTTTCTCAACAAACAAGTTATATATATAGACAGAAGAGAAAGAGAAATTATTGGTGTTGGTTTTAATATTAATGATAAGGTATAGATTTTTCGTATTATTTTTGGGCAATGTTTATATTTGTGTTTATTTATTCCTAGTTAGAAAAGTAGAGGTATTAGATTTAATTTATGTTAAGAATAGATCTAAAAAAATTTGATTAGAAAATATTAGAAATGACATTTCTTATTAGATTTAAATGAGAATTTGACTATTGATTTATCTTTTATGCTATATGGTTACTGGACTGTCTTATTTGCATGGGACGGCAGTTTACCTTGTATATAATCCTTTTAGCATGCTCTTTATTATTTATTTTCAAATTTCAAATTAATGAGACTATGATGAAAGAAGTTTTATCATCGGTTGAAGCTTATTTCTGACGTAACCTGGAATCTGATCATGCAGAGAAACCAGAGGTTCTTCAGGTTGTGCCCAGCCGGACCATGCAACTCCATTCTGGTACTGGCGCCGAAGTTCATCGCCAGGGTGCAGTGTGAGTCGTCTGGGAGATAGATATGAGTGTAATGATGCTATGGTGGAGCACTTTGAATAAGTTCAATGTACTGTTATTTGAAATTTCAGTCTGCTTATTATAATTATCCTTGTCTTGATACTAAATATAATGGATGCCTTAGTTACTTGACTATTCCGGAGCATGCGATTATTTGCAGGTTAGTAGGGTTAATTGAGTTAGGTTGTCCATGAGTTTGATGGGCTAACCAGGCTTGGCCTTTAAATTAGTAACTCAAAGAATATTATTAAATCGTCTAAACTATAATTACCCATTAAGCAATTTATAATCGTTATGCATAGCGCTTGCCTCACATTCTGAACTTGCATGTTAATCACAGGTGTTAGTATGGTAGAGGTTAATGTGTGGATTGAATGTGTTGGGATGGGAGCTTTTTATGGCAATTGTTTAGCTTTAATCTTTTTATTTTTAAACTTAGAAGAATAAATATTTTATTTATTCTGTTCACATTTAATAAATCTAATTATTCAAATTAAAAATTAAATTATTATTTTATTTCATACATAAAATTATATTTTTACAATCCTATTTTATTTTCTCCCAAAATGGAGAAATTATTCTGTGTGGAATCCGGTCATAAAGATGTGTTCAGTTGCTTACGTGGAAAGGGTTAAATAGTCAATTGAATTGCGTAAAGCCAACGATACCCTGACCCGTCTTCCTCCAGCTCGACCCGGGAGATAACGTTAAATTTAGGTTGGCGTTTCTTTTTTTTTTTTCAGAATTTAAGGTGCGAATCACCACAATATATAATGCTTAGAGTCAAAATTTTCGCAGAAAAAATGTCGATGAAGATGGAGATTGATCTGGAGGATATTGATTTTTATGAGCAGACAATATTTTCGTAGGTCTCGGAGGAAGCCGATAATCTGGAGAATGTTGATGTTCAGGAAACAAGCGTACATGAAGCAGAACACCTAAAACTAGTGCGACTAGACAAAAAATTCAGCTTATCGGTAAAGTTCGTCTTCTTCCAAGTTTTCTTTATAGCAATGTTGCAATTAAATCTCTTTACATAGTCATTTTTTTGATGTAATTATTTTGGGGTACAAAGATTTTTGATGTATTTATTGTGTTTAACATAGATGCGTATTTTTATCAAATTGATTTTAAAAGAAGAAGAAGACTCGATGTTCCCTTCTTTTAAAGTATTATTGAGCTAGGGTACAATTAACAAATTTGTAGTTCGATTTACTTATTGCAAAGTTTTGTTGCATATTAATTGCGTATGTATTGCTTATCTGTTTGATATAGATTGAGTATTATCTGTGTATTGATTTGGTATACAGTGCGCATCAATTGTGCATATGTTGGGTTTTTATTGCGTATTGGTTGCGTATTAATTTGCTTAATTACTGCTTATTGGTTGTGTATGTGTTGCGTATTGGGTGCGCATTGGATAATTTATTTATTGCGTATTTATCAGGATGTTTATGTTAATGAGAAAGAGGCATACGAGGCTTATCGTACTTATGGATATAATCTTGGTTTTAGTGTTCGTAAGGATCATCACAGTTATTGGCCAAATTCCAGAAATTTAAAATCCAAGGACTTTGTTTGTTCAAAAGCTGGTTTCAAGAAGTTGCCTGATCTTAATATCTAAAGGAAATATCGAAGATCAGATACCCGGACTGGTTGTCCAGCTATGATTAGGTTTACAGTGGATGAAGCTGGATATTGGAAGGTGAAAAAATTTATTGAAAATCACAATCATGATTTGCCTAGGCCAGAAGACCAGCATCTTCTTAGATCATGCAGGAATATGTGTGATAAAAAAGCTTATGTTCTTAAGGTAATGACAGATGCTGGGATAAGAACCATTGATGCATTTTCTTTCATTGCTGATGAAGTTGGTGGTGTCGAAAATATTGGATTCACAAGGAGGGATGCGTACAACTTTATTCAAAAAATAAAAAGAGCAAAGATTGAACTTAGGGACACTAATACTTTGATTGAGTTATTTAAAGAACGTCAACTTAATGATAACATGTTCTCTTGGGATGTCCAGAAAGATGAATTTGATAGATTGTTAAATTTTTTTTGGGTTGATGAGATTGGTAAGATAGATTATGATTGATTTGGTGATGTGGTAATTTTTGATACAAGTTATAGGCTTAATAAGTATAATTTGGTATGCGCACCATTTGTCGGGGTTAACAATCATTGGCAAAACATTTTGCTTGGGGTGACCTTCTTGTCCAAAGAGACGATTGAATCATTTATGTGGGTGTTTACAACTTTTGTTCGAATGATGGGTGATAAACAACCAAAAACAATATATACAGATCAAGAATACGCAATGGCTAGGGCCATAGAAGTTGCACTACCCCAAAGTCGCCATAGATTATGCCAATGGCATATCCGTAAAAAGGTTCCATCAAAAGTATCATGCTACAATACTAACAACAAAGTCAAAGGCCTCTTCAATAAGTGTTTGAGCAGATGTGACTCTGAGGAGGAGTTTGAAAATGCATGGGCTGAATTGATCATACAAGGGAACCTCCAAGATCATGTTTGGTTGCAGGATCTTTATAGGATAAGGAATAAGTGGTCAATAGCCTTCAATAAGGATTGTTTTAGCATGGACATTCTATCCACACAACGTAGCGAGTCTACTAATAATATGTGTTATGACATTTCTAAGCCCACAAGTTCTATAACTGATTGCTTTTTGGGTTTAGAGAAGGTGATGAGGAATTGGCGTCGGAATGAACAGGATGAGGATTATAGATGCAGCCAGTCTGAAATAGAACCTGTAATAAAAAATTGCTCAATATTAAAACAAGCTACTCAATTTTATTCAAAGAAAATATATTCATTTTTTGAACAAAATTTTTTACAAGGTGTTGGTGTAATGAGTGTAGAGCTTGAGTCTAGTGATTCTTCAAAATTTTTTTGTCTATTACACAGAGAAAAAGGATCACTCTCAACAATGCAAAAAATTGTAACATTCAATACTCCTACAGAAAGTTTGAAACGATGGGTTTATTGTGTTCTCACTGCATAATAGTTTTGAGGCAAATGGATATTGGGAAAATTTCCGAGAAGTACCTACTGTTGCGATGGTCAGCACGAGCTCGACAAGATATATATTCTAGTCTCAATTTGAAAGAAAATTCTCAGAATAGCTCTGAAGCTAGTAGCGGATTCATATTCATAAATTATATCAGCAGGTTTGCATATCAAATGAGCACACGAGCGCAGCTGAATGAGGGTAGTGAAGAATTCTTATTGGCTTCGATGAAGGATACATCTGTAAACTAGATTTGGTTGTCTTTGGAAAGAGAAAGACATACAAGTCTACATAGGGTGGTAGTGTACAACTGAAAGACCCTCTAAAGCGTAGACCTAAGGGCATAAGCAATGCTAGACTAAAAAGCCACTGGGAAAAGAAGCCAAAGAGTATTATTTTATTTTCTAACTAATTTGATTTATTGTCTATTGTGACATATTGTTAATAATTTTTTTTAACAGGGAGCCCACCAGTGAAGAAATACACAATAAAAATTGAGACTCCTTCAAGCATGCCCGAATGCTTAACGGAGGATTTCATAAATTTTGTACACTCCAAGCAACCATCAGCTCAACAGTGTAATTTCACAAGCATTCCCGAATGCTTCACTGAGGACTTCATAAATTTTGTATAGTCCAGTCATCCATCTCCAACTAAGCAGTACAATTTGACAAGCATGCCCAAATGGTTAACGGAGGACTTCATATCACAAGCATGCCCGTCTAGTCAGGCATCAGTACAGCAGTTCACAAGCATGCTCGAGTGCATGACCGATGATTTCATAGCCGGGGAATCGTCCAGTCAGCCATAAGTAAAGCGAGCAAAGCATTCTAATTTCACAAGCATACCCAAATGCTTCACTCAGGAACACATAAAAGGTGCACGTTCAAAGAAGCCATCAGCAATGTACCTCAAGTTGATGATGGATATCATTAAATCAGAAAATTCTATGAAATAAGAATATTTGTATTGATTAGCGTATGGCCTGCGTATACAATGCGTACTTGATGCGTATACAAAGCGTATACAGAGCGTATTTATTATTTTTCATGAATAATATGTCTCATTGAGAATTTTTTTATAATAATTTTATGATGATGGTAAAATGAGTTTTTGCATGATTCATAGTGATTCATAGTGAAGGATTGCATCGAATCAATTAAATTTGAATTAAATAAAATTTTTTAAGTAGAAAACAATTACTGTGATGTGCATATGGATGGCGTCTCATGTGCGTACGGTATGCGTATATACGGCATATAGGGTGCGTACTTTTCAAACCCTTAGAAGTCCCTCTTAATCCTTAGGATTGAAGGTTCTTTGGTGAGAAACCCAATGTTCAACGCTTCAAGACTCTTTTATTCATGAGACGAAGCATTCCAAACAACTTTGATTCTCCATATACTCTAATGAATGCTAAACCAGTGAAGCATAACACCCACAATCTAGAACCATCACTTGTGTATCACAAGGATGTACACAAATAATATGTCTCATTGAGAAAATTTTTATAATAATTTTATGACGATGGTAAAATGAATTTTTGCATGATTCATAGCGAAGGATTGCATCGAATCAGTTAAATTCGAATTAAATAAATTTTTTAAAGTAGAAAACAATTACTGTGATGTGCGTATGGATGGCGTCTCATGTGCGTACGGTATGCGTATATACGGCGTATAGGGTGCGTACTTTGCAAACCCTTAGAAGTCCCTCTTAATCCCAAGGATTGAAAGTTCTTTGGTGAGAAACCCGATGTTCAACGCTTCAAGACTCTTTTATTCACGAGACGAAGCATTCCAAATAACTTTTATAACCTATTATTTTTTTAAGAATTATTAGTTGCATATGGATGACATATTATGTGAGTACGGTATGTGTATATACGACGTATAAGGTGCGTAAATTTGCAAAACATTATGAAATCATTCATAGTTACAAGGAATAGAGGATCATCGATCCTAAATATACAGATAATTTATATTTTATGAATAGATAATTTACATATATCAGTTATTTACACAAAAATAAAATATAAAAAGTTCATTTCAATGAAGCACAAAATAATCCGTAGGCAAATTCTGCCCTATACATTGGCATT